GGAGGATGTGAAACTCTTAAGTATATCAGGAAAGAGATCTGCCCCTGCAGGTGGTAACAAAATTCCACAGAAAAAGGTGAAACTTGCCACTGATAGAGGATGACGATGACGATGATGATGATGATGACGATGATGATGAGTTTGATGATGATGAGGCTGAAGAAAAAGCACCAGTGAAGAAATCTATACGGGATACTCCAGCCAAAAAATGCACAAAAATCAAACCAGAATGGAAAAGACTCAAAACCATCAACTCCACGATCGAAAGAACAAGAATCTTTCAAAAAACAGGAGAAAACTCCCAAAACTCCAAAAGGACCTAGTTCTGGATAAGACATTAAAGCAAAAATGCAAACAAGTATAGAAAAAGTGCATTGAACAGTCCTGGGCACTACTGATGGGGAGAGAAAAAGGAGAGACAAATATAGTCGATACTGAGTATCATCAACAATACAGACTGAAGTCTTCTATTTTAATCTTACCCCCTTTCCTGATTTGTCACCCAACCATACCCCTGTGCAGTCTGGAAGCAATCTTTATTCTTGATTTCCTAAGACACTTTCTATTGACTGCTGTGATTCAGTGAACCATACTCTGCTTTTCACTTGTGCACTGACCTCACCTTTGTGAACGTGTTTTATGAACTTTGTTTTTCCCTAGTTCTTCAATAAATATTTGAAAAAAAAATCAATCTCCACTATAGTCTGTTTCCTACTGCCAAAGGGGCCCTTTAGGGTAGTGAGAGAAGATCTTCACCCTGAAACCTACAGTGTCCCTTTTCAGCAGGAAGTAGCTAAGTGAATATGCCGTCCCCTTTTCCTCATGAATCAGGGTGAAATCTCTCTCAGGGAGGAGTGATAGGGAATGGCAAATGACACACTGACATAAGTGAATATGCCGTCCCCTTTTCCTTATGAATCAGGGTGAAATCTCTCTCAGTGAGGAGTGATAGGGAATGGCAAACGACACACTGGCAAAGGAGATTAATCAGAATTGGTTTTGATAAGCACTGTGGCAATGGGACAATTAAAA